ACATAACTAAAAGTTTAGCTAGAAATTTTTTCTCACAAATGTTTTTTTTAATTTAACCAAATACCTTCAAACAATAGCATAGCGTTGTGATATGTCATAACATTCCATTAAAGTCCACCGCTGAATACACAAACACACACATACACACAAGCACACACAAACACGCACACACACACACATACACACACAACGGGGAGTGTTCACATAGATTGCCTTATAGGAGGGATTTTGCCATAGTTGCCACGGTTGACAACCGCAGTATTTTATAATTTTGAGTTGTTATCAGGAGATGCTGCTAATCATCTCTTGTTTCCGTTTCGCTTTATCTCTTCTTACGACACACACGAGCGATATGTGGTGTTTTATGTGTGCCTCCGACGAGATAATTATACCGCCATCTATTGCAAGCCATAAGATTTGCCGGCGCTTCCCACAGTCGCCTCTTGCTACACCCGCGGGAAGAAATGAGGCTATGGAATAAATTTAATAAACCGTCTTAATGTATTCTTTTGTTACCTTGTGACAAAGGAATAGGGAATATCGGGCCTATTTGAAAGTTCAATATTTTTTTCATAACACAAAGGACAACATGGCTCCACCCTGCGTTACTTTGTTCCTGTCTGAGGCGTATGTAGAGCCAGTATAATTACAGACTATAAAGCATTCCACCTTAGTCCTCAGGAATGACAAGATGTGTAGCCTACTTTGTCGAAGGTTGAGACACACTTGTACACAGTTGAAAAAATCTTTAGTCTCTCACTTTCCTACTCAAAACTTTTCAAATATATTGCAACTACAAAATATGATAAATATTAAACTACTTCATGCATGTAAAGTGTATTTACCTTAACATATTAATATCTATTGCTTAGATTCATTACAGTTTTATAACATACATCTTACCATATATATATATATATATATATATATATATATATATATACATATATATAAATTTTAAAATAGCTTGCAGCAATAACGACTGCCTTTGGGAGGCATTTTCATAAGGCACGTTCTAGCAATTATGTTAATTAGAGGAAAGCGACAACTAGCTTTTCCGATATTCCAAAACTAATAATACCTACCCTTGTCTAAATATTTAAGCGACAGCAGTTTTTGATGTTATTACGGTGTAGTAAGAGGCGACGGAGGGAACAAATCAGGAGATGGGCAGCAGCATCTTCCTACTAACGACTAAAAATAATAAACTGCGGTTGTCAGCCCGCTTGGCAAGCGTGGCAACTATGGCAAATGTCCCCCCTATGAGACAATCTATGGGGAAGCTTATGTTCACCAGTGGACTTTAATATGCTGTAATGGTAAAAAAAATTTCTTTTACACTTCAGTTTGGGAGGAATTTTTAAATTCTCCTTAGTTTAACGCCCGTCAACAAAGTTCGTTTAAAGTTTTTACATTAGGGTGAGCTACGTGTGTAACTTATCGACGAACTGTACTTACTGTAACGTGTCAGTTTGAATTTTGACTTAAAAAACTAAGTTCTAGGAGTACCAATTAATATAAGAAAGAAAGAAAAAGAGAGTAGAAGTAGTTGTTACATGAAAGATGCTGCTGCGCATTCCTTGATTTAGTTGTCCCGTGTCTATATCATACCCACGGGGAATTTTTTAATTTTTTAGTTATCAAAAGTCAAAACATTGCTAATAAAGGTAATCCCTTTCTCTATTACGCAACTAAAAATAGACATCCCAACTAATTACCTGCTGGAGCAAACCTCAAAACCTGAAGACGAAATTGTACAACCAGTGCGTGTTGCCAGTGATGACTTACGGATCCCCAAAGACCAAGACCAAAGACCACCTCATAAGGAGGATACTTCGCATAGTTGCTACGCTTGGCAGGCGGGTTGGCAACCGCAGTTTTTTATTTTATAGTTTTTATTTGAATGATGTTACTACCTAGTCATGGATTCGACCCCACACAGAGTGATACAAGTACGTGCATAAATACTATTGCTGACTTTGCACCCAGTGTGTGGCCTATATCGTGTCACTTGAGTACCTAAGCAAATGTTATAGAGTCTGCATGAAAGATTTATTAGAATAAGTTTGCCATTGTCGAAGTACATGAGCTTCTGTACGGACATCTCTTAGTTTTATTTTAGTTTTTAAAAACGCCTCCACCGCTCCCGTTAACTTGACTGGCGCAGCCGGTAGGATCGCCATTTGCTTGCGCCGTCCGCGAAATAAATTCGAATAAAATCGTTTACCGCGTTCGTGCCGCGAGGCGATCCTGCGAACCAATATAAATTTGTCAAGTGGAGAGCAGCTGAAGATGACGAAGGCCGGCTGGTGAGTCCAAATTTTCACCTTCCTTTCCTTGTCATATTATATAGTTTTGTTATTTTGCAATTAGACCTCTTGCGATATAACGTTATCTGGTTTTACATAAAAATCTGTGAAACTTATATTTAAGAATACTTAAACTTAATAACTAACTGCATAAAGAAATACTAGGAATAACTAGATAAGTAAGCGCGTCCATGCAATAACGACGCGATAAGAGCTTGCACTGTAGGAACAAAGCGATTATAACTATTACAAATTATAATTGTAGTGTATGTTCGTTGATTAAATTTTTATTGAGGACTTATTTATTTCATATTTTATATTTTACTTATTAATTATTTTACTTTTATTTTGACTGTGTTTTTGATTGTGAATTTGAACTCTTGTATTAATTATATTATTTTATCGCCGTATTTTATAAAATAAAGTTCTACAAAATGGAAGATCAAGTGCAAATTAAGATGATTCCTAGTGAAATGCTCAAAATTGTACCGATATTCAACGGTGATAAGCACCAATTAAATCTTTTTATTCGTAAATGTGAGTATATATTAAATAAATATAGGGGATCCGATGAACAAAATTTATACGTAATGTACGCGATAACAAGTAGACTCATAGGCGACGCTGCAGCGCTCTTTAGCGAGCGCGAGGACATTAATTCGTGGGAAGATTTTAGAGAACTGCTTATTCAACATTTTGGAGACCCTAGGAGTGAAGAATGTATTGCTATAGAACTTGAAGGTTTGCGTATCCGAAACAACGAGTCATATTTAGATTTCTGTAATAGGATCCAATCCGTTCGTAGTGTTTTAATATCGAAAGTAAATAGATTAACCGATCCGAATGTAAAGAGTAGCAAAATTATTATATATAATAACACATCTTTAAACGTCTTTTTGTATAATTTGCCAGAAAATATGGTGCGAATTGTTCGCTTAAAAGCGCCCAGTACACTAGAAGAGGCTTTAAGCGTGGTCATGGAAGAAGTCAACTTCCATGAGCAGTATACCTTACGTAATAAAATGTATAGTGATCCTAGTAATAAACTAACGCCACCCAGTATACCAAATAATAATCCTACGTTTAAATTCGGTTCAAATAATTTTAATTCAATGGCACCTATGGGCTATAAACCCGAATTAACCCCTAACAAATTTAACTTTGGACTTCCGCAGGGGTCACAATCAAAACTAACTCAATTTAATAATAATCAACAAAATTTTGGATACCGCCCCCAACAATTCGGCTTCCGCCCGCAACAATTTGGTATAAGCCCGCAACAGTTTAATATGCGCCCACAACAATTTAATATGCGTCCCCAACAGTTCGGGATGCAACCACAAACATTTAATAAACCTCAACAATTCGGTATGCGCCCACAACAATTTGGAAACCAACAACAAAACTTTTATAAGCCCCAACAATTTGGTTACAAGCCTCAGTTAAATAAAAATCAATACACTGGGCCCAGTGACGTCACAATGCGAACGGCACCACCACTTAAAACAAATCAACAAGGCTTTCAGTTAAATGAACTCGACCTTGATAATACGTATTACGTTGATGCGTGCGGCGATGTGTACCCACTTTCTTATGATAACTGCTGCTATGAGGAGTACTCAAGCAGTGGCCTTAATGTTCCCGAGCTCGATTATTATGAAAATCAATATCCGACAATCATTCCTGAAGTAACACAAAGCGTCCCAACCAATATGGACGACAAGGATTTTCAGGTCGAAGCCTCGGAACTTACGAAAAAATAGAGTTAAATTGTAGTACTAATTTGAGATTGCCATTTATTTATATACCGGAAATCGACTCCAAATTTATGATTGATACAGGTAGTACGCGATCATTCATTAGTCCATCAAAGGCTTATAAGTACTTTCCAGAGTACATAAGTCACGAACCATTCGAAGTCATTAGCACACATGCGTCGAGCAGACATGATCAAGTTATTCAAATCCCGTCTTTACCAATTTTCAACTGTAACGATATTCATAAACTATACATTTACAATGTCGACTCTAGGTACGATGGCTTAATTGGGAATGATATACTTTGCAACCTAGAAGCAGTAATAGATTTAAAAAACGAGATTCTTAAAACTAAAACTACCGTAATACCTATAACACATAGTAAATCTTCTTACGTTTTGGAGTTATCTCCCCGTTCCGAGCAAAGAGTCAAACTCCTAACAAATTTATATTCAGGTAATGCTGTAATCGATTATAAAGAATTCTGTAAGGGTGTGCGAATGCCAAGTGCGTTAGTGAGATGTAAGGATGGTTATACGACTACAGTAATCCAGAATACCTTAGATATACCGATAAAATTAACTATAAAAAAACCATTGAATGTAGAAGCATATGAAGAGAGTAAAGCGACTAAATGTATAGTTAACCATATTACAGATATGTCAGATATTGAAGTAGATAAAATATTAGAGCAAAATTTAGAGAAACTACGCTTAGACCACATGTCGGAAGAAGAACAAAAATCGATATACCACTTATGTAGAGAATATAAAGATATTTTTTATAGCGATCAAATACCTTTATCTTTTGCTAATGAGGTGAAACACTATATTAGAACAAAAAACGAAGACCCTATCTATGTCAAACCCTACAGGCAACCTCCCGCACAAACACAGGAAATTAAAAACCAGGTACAGAAACTATTAAATGATAATTGATTCAGGAATCCTTTTCGCCTTGGTCAGCCCCAGTCCATTTAGTTCCCAAAAAGAGAGACGCATCTGGTGAAATGAAGTATAGGATGGTTATCGATTACAGACGTCTAAACGACATAACTGTGGACGATAAGTACCCTTTACCCAATATCACTGACATTTTTGACAAACTAGGTAAGAGTACTTACTTTTCAACCTTGGACTTAGCTAGTGGACCACCAAATTGAGATCAACGAATCAGATAGACAAAAAACGGCATTCAGCACAGAGAACGGACACTATGAATTCCTGCGAATGCCCTTTGGCCTGAAGACAGCTCCAGCCACCTTCCAAAGAGCCATGGATAACATCCTAAGAGGCTTACAAGGAATTCATTGCCTTGTCTATCTTGATGACATAATTATTTTCTCGAGTAGCCTCCAGGAGTATTTACAAAAATTAAGGACAGTTTTTGACAGATTGAGATCGACTAATTTAAAAATACAACTTGACAAATCAGAATTCTTGAGAAAAGAAGTGCTATACCTAGGGCACGTTATTACTAAAGACGGACTTAAACCAAACGATGATAAGATTCAGGCTGTATTAAGCTACCCGTTACCAAGGACGACTACCGAGATTAAGAGTTTCCTAGGATTGATTGGTTATTACAGACGCTTTGTAAAAGACTTCGCCAAAATCACTCAGCCCCTTACAGTATGCCTTAAGAAAAGAAATAAAATTGTAATAGATCAAAAATATATTGATGCGTTTCAGAAGTGTAAGGAGCTTCTGACTAATGCACCTTTACTCCAATACCCAGATCCAGACAAACCTTATGTTTTAACTACAGATGCTTCTACTGTTGCTTTAGGTGCGGTCTCATCGCAGGGGACAATAGGATCCGATAAGCCCATTGCCTACGCCAGTAGAACTCTCAGCGACACTGAGACCAGATATAGTACAATAGAGCGTGAACTACTCGCCATAATATGGGCCGTAAAACATTTTAGACCATACCTTTACGGGCGTAAGTTCACCATATATACCGACCATAGACCACTAGTTTGGCTTTACTCACTTAAAGAACCGAACAGTAAACTGACCCGTTGGCGTTTACGTCTTCAAGAGTACGACTTCGATATTGTATACAAAAACGGAAAACAAAATAGTAATGCTGATGCCCTCTCTCGGATAAAACTAAATGCCATAGACTCTGATGACTCACAATCATTGGAAGTAAACCTGGACCCTAAAGAACAAAAACTGCAAAAATATCTGACAGAATTAACTGACCAAATTGTGGACTTAACGACTGAAAACAGGGACGACTCTAGGACAATAACTATAACTGACACATCCGCCACTGTATCCGTCGACCAGTTAGAGACTAACACGAAATACCCGTTACCACCTATATCCTCTGATAGTAGTACAGTAACTGTGCATTCTGGACAAGATCTAGAATCTAATGGTATTCCGATATTAAAGGAGGCCATTGACTCAAAACCAAACCAAATTTTAGTTTATACCTGGCATAAAAATGAAGTACAAGTAAGAAATTTATCCAGGGATAAACAAAAGGTTCTCGAAGTTTTTGCCTCACTTAAGAATGAAGATCTTATTAAAAATTTCTTAAAAGAGTACAATATAGAAAAGAATTCTCTAAAGTTATTATACAGCTATTTAAAAAGGGAATGGTAGAATTTATTGAATGTACAGAGCGTGTTATATATGTAGAAGACGAGAAAGAACAAAAAGAAATCATACTGCAACATCATGAGGGAAAGACGTGTCACAGAGGAATAAAGGAAACAATGAGTAGAATTAAAAGAAATTATTATTGGCAGAACATGCAAGAGGCGATTGCTGCAGTACTTAATGTTTGTGATGCCTGTAGAAAAATGAAATATGAAAGAAAACCCATTAAACCATTACTTCAATTAACTCAAACCCAAAACGCCCCCTTCCAAGAAGTTTTCATGGACCTTTTTTCAATTGAATCCGTTTATTACCTAACTTTGGTTGACGCATTTAGTAAATTAGGACAAGCTATCGAAATCCCAAATAGATCCGCACCGGAAATCGTAAGAGCGCTTATTAAATATTTTTCAATATACGGAACACCTAAAAAAATAACTTCTGATCCCGGTAGTGAGTTTAATAATGATCTCATTAAGGAACTTATGACTATGTATAACATACTACTACACATTACCACTCCTAATAACCCGAATTCAACAGGCATAATAGAGAGATTCCACTCCACAATTATAGAGATATACAGATTGGCGAAATACGAACGAAAGTGTACAGATGCAGCTACTGTAATGAGTTACTCAATTATAGCTTATAACCACACCATACATAGTACAACCGGCCTTACTCCTTTCGAAATCGTTTTCGGTCATACTGACTCTAATTCAACGTTCACCGCGAATTTCGAGAAATGTTACACCCAACAACTATTAAAAGATCATGCTAAACGTACTAGATATCTATATAATTACATATCGGATAAAATCTTAGAGAAAAAGGAAAAGGTAAGGGAACAAAAGGGCGGTGAAACAGATAGAAATTTTAGAATAGGAGATGTTATATACGCCAAGGAATCTAACATAAGAAGAAGTAAAGACAAACCGCGATATAGGAAAGCTGTCGTTAGTGGTAATATAGAAAGAAATATAGTTCCTGTTAGGATTGGTAATAGAAATACTTCAGTGCCAATTAAAAATATTAAACGTCCTCCACAGGTGGTGTATAATAATTCTGACGATGGTTCAGAAAGGATGGGCCCTTCAACTTCGAAAACTTGAAAAAAACCCAGGAATCCTGCCTGTCAAACTGGGTCGTGCCTCATTGCAAATAGACAATTGGCTTATTATTAAAACTTTAAACTTAGAAGGTATAGGTAGTGATTTAGATTTTAGTATATTAAAGTATGACGAATTCGTTGCGTTGATAGATGTTAATAAACCATATATTCATGAATTTTTAGCTATTCGAACACATGTAGGGTATTTAAGAGATGCAACTATAGAAAAATTTCGGCAACTTGTGCCATCGAAAAGATTTAAAAGAGGCATTATTGACCCGCTTGGGTCTATGATAAAAATAGTAACTGGAAATTTGGATCATGATGATGCCGTCCGATATGACTCATTGATTTCTAAACTAAACGATAATCAGATAATGTCGGATAAGAGAATTACATTAGTCTCCAAAATCTTGGATAGTTTCATCAACAGTACAGAGACCTTACATAACAATACTTTAATATTAGATGAACGCTTGAAGAGAATTGAAAGAATTGTTAAATTCCTAATTACAAAAGAAGAAAACTCCATTTATTCTACCTATGTCCTAGGTATGTTTGACATGTTTTTGAGTTATTTTAGAACTATTAACGTAATACTAGGAGAAATCGAAACTGCACTAGCATTCAGTAAGGTATCTGTTCTGCATCAAGCAATTTTTAACTCTACGGAATTGTTAAATTTATTACAATCAATCGCGATAACTGAAAATCTATTATATCCTGTAAATGAAAATAACTTAGTTAAACTAGAAAATTGTATTAAGGTTAAGGCTTTTATAAAAGGAAACCAGATCACGTTTATCTTAGAGGTCCCTTTAGTAGGGAATAAAACATATAGTTACTTCAAAATGTATTCATTGCCAATTGCTATTGCAAACAAAACTATTATAGTTATTCCCAAATACCCATACCTATTGGTGAAAGAAAAGGAATACTTGCCAGTCCCGAGAGCCTGCAAACAAATTGCTTTGGATAATCAATTCCTGTGCAATACCGACGATGTACTGCTGCATACGGAACAAAGATGCGTGGAACAGCTCATGGAGTTTCAATCAAACCTCGATGCCTGTGAACAGCATACTGTGGACATTGAAGATCCCAAAATTCAACGAATAAGCCACGAAAGCTGGATACTGTACGTGAGAAATCATAGAATACTTACCAGAAAGTGCGACAATGACGTCACTCATGAACTTTTATGTGGTACTTACATAATCACCGTAGACGATTTCTGTGAAGCCGAAATTGGAAATATTCATTTTAAGTACCACCAATCTTCTTCAGATGACCTAAATTACCGAATTTCCCCAATGACTAACTTGCCAGAACTGAAGATTTCGAAGCCTCCCATTGGCAGTGAAGTGAGTTTAAAAGGTATAAATCTAGACGAAACTAAACAATTACTTCAACTAGTAAAACTTAGCAAAATAAATCTCAGTGAAAATGCAAATGCTATTAATGTTAAAAGTGTGAGTTTAGGAACGTGGCGCAGTGGCTTAGCAATCAGTTGTTGCACTGGGGGCTGCGGGTTCGAATCCCGCACGGAACAAGTATTTGTATGGCCTACAAATAATTGTTCCGGGTCTGGATGTTTGTCCTTGTGCAATTTATGTTTGTAAACTGCCTCCACGACACAGGAGAAAATCCTAGTGTGGGGGTAACGTTTTATACAAAGAAAAAAAAAAAACGATAATTTTGTATGTAATTCTACCAATTATTTTCTGTATTTTTATTATAATTAGACATAAACTGTGTGTAATTAAGCGAAATCATCGGATTCCTGAAAATGCCGATAATTTCGCTCTTGAGGAGGGAAGAGTCATGGATTCGACCCCACACAGAGTGATACAAGTACGTGCATAAATACTATTGCTGACTTTGTACCCAGTGTGTGGCCTATATCGTGTCACTTGAGTAAGCAAATGTAATAGAGTCTGCATGAAAGATGTATTAGAATAAGTTTGCCATTGTCGAAGTACATGAGCTTCTGTACGGACATCTCTTAGTTTTATTTTAGTTTTTAAAAACGCCTCCACCGCTCCCGTTAACTTGACTACCTATCTTCCTGTTTGTTTCCCGTCTATCCTCTATTAATACACCCACGGGACGATATATGGTAGTGGATATTCTTACACCTCTACTACATGGTAAATTTATTATCATTAAAATTTCATTGTTCTATTCCTTAATCCTATCTCATGAGAAAGTTAATGTGTTTAAAGAAAAAAAAATCAAAGTTATACTTAAATTATAATTTAAATTTAAATGTCTTAAATTTCAATTAGTACAGTTATCTGGCAGCAAGCAAAGTTATAAATCATAAGTAGAAAAACCGTATTTCTTCATCAAACCAAAAAAGTTTCTTTTTGAAACTGATCTTGACATTAATTTATTTTAAGACATGTTTGATCGATAAAACTTTCAAAACTGAAAAAGTGGCAAAATTTTAATAAAATTTTCATGAATAGTTGTTTGTTATTTACTGAGTCCCTCATTAAACAACAAATGCTAACAATAAAAGTAAAGTTGCAGACTGTTCATGTTTACAGTCCACTGTTTATGTGCACAGGCCTTCTCATTTATCATTTACGAAAGGGTTTTAAAACAAAGAAATATCCGCCGCGCTGTAAAAACTTTTTTAGACATATACGTGGTAGAGCCATGGTGCAGCTATATTAACTGTATAGTTGTAGCATGAATGGGTTAGCTCAACCAGGGTAGGATCACGCTCTCACAGAATACCAACGTAAAATAGCAGCTTAATGCTGCTGTGTTTCTTATGGTGAGTGTAGAGAACCGGAGACCCTTTTTACTGGAAAAGAGGCATTCCATCTTAGTATAACTCATTTTCATTTTGATGCGCAAACGAGGATATATGTAGATGTCTATGGGCAACAGAAACCACTTACCTTGTGGGCTCTGTGGCGCAGTGACTTAGTAATGAGTTGTTGCGCTGGGGGCCGCGGGTTCGAATCCCGCACGGAACAAGTATTTGTATGGCCTACAAATAATTGTTCCGGGTCTGGATGTTTGTTCACGTGCAATATATGTTTGTAAACTGCCTCCACGATAAAGGAGAAAATCCTTGTGTGGGGGTAATGTGTAAAAAAAAGACAAAAAATAAAAAAAACAGGTGGACTTTGTCACCCTTACGTCTATATAAAAAAAGACGCGTAGGTTTTTTCACGATATTTTTCTTTACCAGAGCACGTAGCAAATTTTCACTTAAAATCGCAATTAATAATTTAATTGGTGCCAGTAGGGATCGAACCCGGATTATTCGCGTTCTGTGAAACTTACAGCGAACATTTAACCCCTAAACAACCACGGCTTTTATGAACAATATATTTCATTGATAAATATATATATATATATATATATATTTATTTATCTGGAGGTATATATATATATATATATATATATATATATATATTTATGTAGTGTGTTATTTATGTTAGAGTTAAGTTAAGAATAGAGATCAGTATAATTAAAGTTATGGAAGCATCAACACGTCTCTATTTCATTGACTTATTTAATATATCTCATGGCGACCCTGCCAGACAGTGCGCTGCTACAATGTACGCGCACCGCCACGGCCTGCAAAAATTGTTGAAAATAATATAAATATTCCCGGACTACACGGAATATACACCCGGATGTGACGAAAAAATAAATAAATATGAATACAAGAAGAGGCCACTATGATAATTTTACAGAAGGTGATTGAAAAATTAAAAAGTATAATGTATACGACTACTTCATTTTACTATGAAGGCAACTAAGAGGAAAATAAAATGTGATTTTTTATATAGAGCAAAATTCAAGAAACGGCAAATTAATTTTAAAAGGAAAGAAACAGTACTTTTTCAAGCTTCGTCCAGAAGAATGTGAAAATTGAGCCGAAAAGAACAAAGAAGAAATACTTAAGAGGTAACTTCGCACCTGTGTGATTTTAATTCCATTAAAAACTTTATTTATCAATTTGAGATTGTTTTTATATTCTTTTTGCTATAATATTTGTTGAAGTTAAGTATTAAATATTCTATATTTAATAAACGTATGCTTAAATTGAAATTATTTATCAGATAATTCACGATACAATTGATTTTTCCATACTTTATCACTATTTATATATAAAAAATGCAATCATAATACAATATCAAAAATTAAGCACATTACATTGTAGGCACTTATGGCATTTGTATTAAGGAACAAGACAATTTTGTATTAAATTTTATTCAGTTATTGTTTATTGCTTTATACTATTTTTATAACTGTGTCCCATAAAAACGAATGAAATAGTTTAGTCGATTACATTTTTATGTATTTAAATTTACCATGGTTTATCATCAATTAATTTTTAGTTTCGTTAAAATAACAACGAAGATATTTTTCGTTGTGATTTTTTTTCCTATAGTAAATTTTATTTAAATGTAAGTATTCAATTTGAAAAGGGTTAATAACAATTCGGTATTAATAAACCTAGCAAGCTAACAGCATAGCAAAGTGGCGAAACAATCAGCTTTGTAGCGGTTTCTAACGGTTGCCGTTGAGCAATCAGTTTCAAAACAGGAGGTTCAGATGCTTGGGTGATCAGTAATCGATTGCTGAAAACAGAATTTGAAAATTCGAAACCGTTCTCAAGATAATCGTGGGACAGGCGGACAGACGGACATACATCGTGAAATCAATAAGTGACTTCGCAAGCTTCGCCACTTAATAAGTGTTAGGTTTTCTTTTTCTTTTAAAAAGGCAGTGAACCTTAAAGTTATACTTACATTATGTATATAAATATAACCTACTTGAAAATTAAAATTGCTCTTTTGAATGCTTAAATAAATTAATTTTTCTGCCGACTTCCAAAAAGGAGGCGGTACTCAATTCGACTGTATGTTTTTTTTTCGTTTTTTTTTTATGTGTGTTACCTCAGAACTTTTTTCTGGGTGAACCGATTTCGATGATTCTTTTTTTATTTGAAAGCTGGTACTTCTCTTGAGGTCCCATATGAATTTGATCAAGGTCAGACCAATAGTTTTTAAGGTATTCTTAAATAACTTATATTGAAGTCGGCTGTACAAAATTTTTATTTTTAAATCATTGTTGTGTAAAGTTCATATTTGTTACAGTAATTATTCAATTATTTTCTGTAAACGATATAGTAAAGTAAATACCATACTTCTAGCAATCTTTTTCGATCTAAGCAAAAGTAATGTGTCTAAAATTCTGTGTAAATAAGGAATTCAAAACTATAATTTTACTTGTATCCACATATTATGTATGTAACAATAACATTGTATAAGTTACTTTTAAATTAAGTGATCATAATACGTTGTAATCGAAAACGTTGCCATATACGTCTTTTGTTAATTAAAACAAAGGTGTCTCAAATCGCTTGCGCTGCTAAGAGTGGGATTACAATTTGTATTTTGATCTGTCTGTCGTTATGCGATTATGTTATTGTTATTGAAAACTATTACGTTGCTTTTCTTCTTTGTTCTATATCTTAATATGAAATGCAATAATTTATTTTTGATTTAATATTGATTGAACTTTTATATCTTAAAGTTTTAACTATTATAATTCATTATTTTTGGGATAATAGCTTGAATATCTAACCTATTTGTGTGGATTATGAAAATAATTATATATACATTCAATTAATTAAAACTCTTTATATTATGTATACAATTAAGTAATTTAAATTTTATTGTACCCATATTGTGAGCCTCAATCCCTGACCGACAACGATGTAACTAAATATTATACGAGACTATTATATGATATAAATTTGTAAAAGATGTGAGTAAATGTTTGGCTAAGTTACGGAATACGTAATTGTAAATGAAAAATATTAATAGTGTGTAAGTGTGAGAGTAAGGTAAATAAAAATTATCGGAGGTTAGCATATCCACATACAATCAGCTCGATCAGCTGAGAGGTTGGAAAACCTAATAACCGATTAACTTTTAAGGTGGTTCTGACACTATTAAATACGGAATAAGTTTTAATGTATTTTAATGAGGTAAATGAGAATTTATTTGAATTGTATAAGAATATTATCCATAATATTAATCATATATATACGCGAGCCGTGTACGTGAAAATTATGGTACCAATAAATAATAATTAATAAATACTATAAATGTAAAGAAATAAATATAAATATAACAAAAGTTGACCTGAAAAATAAGTAATAGAGAGATACGGGAACATCCATCACTGGTAAAGCATATAGTCCTCGAGCAGGGTATGTTTCCATGATTGGATGATAAAATTGGAAGTAACGGGTAATAGGGAACAATACCTTCGGTACAAGTGAGATGTGGACGAGTTTACTCATATTAGTACTGTTGGGGACCACAGAAGTCTTAAATTTGTTACCCTTAATAATGGTACATAGAGGTCATATCCTTCGTTGGATCATAGTGAGAACTTAGTTTTCCTCCTTGACAATTGTTGGAGTCTTTTAAAATGACTTAAACCTACACCTCAAGGTTGTGCGCACAACCCAAGGTACAGTTTTACCTTGATATAGTATGATAAAAAAAAAGTTTATGTACCAATAAAATGAAATAAATGTAGTGGAAATGTGATACAATACCCAAATAAATGGGAGGGCCCATATGTATAAGGTACCCGCGTGATAAATATCACGAAATAAAATATAAATGCAATGAATTAATATGGGACTATTTCTCGTTATCTAAATAATAAATAAATATATAAGTGAATAGAGAGAAATAAAGCTAGCTAAAGGTAAAAAATATCAAGAAAATAAAGTACGTACAAGAATTATGAAAAAAAAGATAATAAAAAGGCCTAACTCGAAAATAAGGAATGAGATGAAAAAGTATGAATAAATA